AAAGGGCCGAATCTCAACAGATCGTGACGACAAGGCCACTCTACTGCTTACAACACCCCGTTCCCTGTCTAAGTCGTCTGCAAAGGGTTTGACTCACAGTCTTCCTCCACAGAATGTTACTGTTTTCTTTTTTTTCTTGGTCTTGTGTTTCTTATGAGTCCCCTACCAACGAGGTAGGGCGGAATCTGTGATCTGCTCGTGTTGTGTTTGGTCAGAGGATTGTAATGCTCATCATACTGGCACTTAGGGGAATGTATCCAGCCATTTTCACGGTCGGATTTGTGTGCCCGTTTTTTTTCCCTTCTATTCTCTTTTTCGAATCTTACAACCTGGCCACGGGGCTGAGATGCCCTCACTGAGGGCACACTCACACTACCACTTCCAAGAATGTATACAACTGCAATCACGACCAAAGCTTTATTTCCTTTTTTTTTCCTTCTTCTTTTCTGAGGTTTACGGGCACAAGTTTTTTTTTTTTTTTTTTTCCTTTCCATGTGCAAGGAAGATGAGCAATAGCGAACTTCATAAATCAAACAGCATCATACATATGAGACCCTATAGTCGTGACCTCGAACCAATAGCAGAATTGCATCACGAGTTTCACCCCACAAGCTCATAATTTGACAATGCTGGAACAGTCTCATCATCATCAACGAAGAACCAATGTTGATATCCTATATGGCGCTCTGCGCCCAGACTACGAATGGCAGATCCTATCTACCCTAGACTACAATGTCGCTGACAACGTCAACAACTTCCCAAGTACATGCAGATCTCGGCCAATGCCGCACGCGTCAAGCACCAGGTATGTCCCTCGTATCACTCACAACCTCTTTCCCCAACTCACAGATGCCACTTGCACCCAAGGACCACCATGCACCCCATCCAGCATACAACAGCGCAGCTCGGCTATGGCTGCCTGCTCCTTCCAGCTCGCCCGTGAGCGAGTGAGCCTGGCAAGCGATAGCGCGGCAGCACTTGCACACAAAGTAGCCAGTGCCCGAATGTCGAATGCGTAGGCTGGCCCTTTCCTAAATGGAAGTGGCCAGCCTGCTTGCGTGCAGCCTGGCTGCGCTGGGTCCCTGCCCAGAAGCTTCCGGTAGGCCCAGGCAGGCTGAGCCTCAGACCAAACGAATCAGGCCCCATGCCACCGACAGTTACCCGTGCCCAACTGCCCGCTGTCTGAGTTGGGTCTATGTTGCACATCTCGCCCAGGGCCTGACTTAGATACAGTCGATAAAGGAGGCCAGGGCCTGGGTGCCTTCAACCAACTGGCGTTGCGCAACTGCCTGAATTTTCCTCAGTTGTGAAGTAGTCCAAAATAGACCTCTTGTCGCATGTCGGGCCAGCCTTCACTTAGGGCGGCCGACCTGTTGCAAATAGGGGCCCAGTAGGGCTTATCGAGGCCTATGCCTCGCATTCCCTCCTCCATACTTCGCTAGTCCTCTAAGAAGTTCAAACTTCGATAATCTGGCACTTTCCTTTTTGCAGAGACTTCTCATAGTGAGCGACAACCTGTGGAGCAGTTTGCATCAATTCCTCCCTTGTGAACCACCTGCAATCAGACTCGTCTCATTCACACTTTTGCATGCACGTGAACAGCAGCACAACAAACTGGCGACATGCGCCCACACAGTACTCAGAGATATGGCTTCCAGGTAAGAGTTCACTTCCACTGGCTATGGCAACTCAGCGCCCAACAATCCACTGTTCACACACAC